CTGTACATGCCAGCCCATAAATCGGTCGCAGATCCCACCCGGAAAAGGGATTCAGGAAAACCCCAAAAGGTGAAAGGCAATGGTCTCTGCCATTCAGCTGATCTTTGTATCCGAAAGAAGAGCCGTGGGGAGCTGGTAGTGGGGGTCTGCTCTGTCCCAGGGCCGTGCTGCAAAGCTCTTCCCCTTGGAGGAAACCTCTGCTCAAACAGTTCCAGCAACCGCCTTTGGTTTTCAGGCGGTGCGAGTCTTCCCTACCCAGCCGGAGCCAAGCGCGTGGCGGCCATTAGGAATTTTACAGAAAAGCCATTTTGTGGGAATTCATCCCTTTTTGTGCTGTGATCCAGGCAGGTGCAACAAGGAGCTTAACCAGCTTTATCCAGCTTAGCCGGCTTGCAAAGACGTCTCCGGCAAGGCTCTGCTCCCGCGGCAGAGAACCCCGCGGCTCGGCGGTGAGGTGGCACCTTTCTCTTACGGGACAACACGGAGAAGAGTTTTGTGGCATTGATCTTCCTGGGGTGGTAGAGAAGCAGAAAGGATGTCAGCAGTTGGGTTTTCCTCGAGAAAAGGAAGGGAAAGGGGGCTTGGGCAAGCTCCTTTGCTCTTGGGCAGGTTTCAAGAAAGAACAGCTTTCACCCCCAAATTGTGGGGAGTTTTCTCCCCCGCCCCAAGATTTCATTACAGTGAAAGCACAACGTATAATAAAACTGTGTCCTTAAAAAAATCAGTTTCACAGACAGGCAGCCTTTATCCGAAGGCGTAATTTCAGGATAAATATGGGATGCAGACCAAGAAATGTGGTCTGGTCAGGCATGCACTCTCTTAAAAAAACACGACACAAAACAAGGCTGTCATTTAATGCTGAAATGTCCACGTATGCTGCAGCCCCCGGTCCCTCACTGGCCCGCGGGTCCCCCCGCCGACCCAGGGTTCGGGCGGTGAAGCCGTAGCCATGCGGGAACCACACTGAGTCTCGCAACAGAGCAGAGGGCGAGGGCAGATCCGGCCAGCGGTGGATGCCAGCGGCGCTGGGTGAGGGCACACGATTGCATGGGCAATGGGTTTCCCTCCAACCCCGGTGCAGAAATCCCATTCGATAGTGCTGCGAGGGGGCACGGGGGATTAGCTCGTCCAATCCCATTAAATGGAGCTGGAGCAAGCGAGGAGAAGGGTCAGGGCAGCCGGTGGAGCAGCCACGACTTCTGAGGTTTGGGACAAACCTTGTGCCAAGCTGGAAAAAGCCCTTTTTATGCATTTCTGTGGGTCAGCCTGGTGGCTTGGCTCCATGGCTCAGCAGACATCCACCGTGCCAGCTGCTGGTAGCAGTTTGCCACCCCAGCCATGCATTACATGGCATGGTGTCTAAGGTGGCATTTCAGAGACATGCCTGCCTCCACTGCTCTCTTACTTGGTGGGCATCAGGATCTTCTGACTCAAGCAAGAATTGTCCCTCCACAGCAAGCCCAGCCACGCCGGCACGGCCCCAGCAAGCCCCGAGTGTCTCT